CTGGGCTCACAGGTGGGTGAGCCCCACAGGCAATGGGAAGGATCTCAAAAATGGCAAATTTTTAAAAAACAGTCACATCACAACAGATGTGCTGAAAGTCCTCAACACCTTCCTGGAAATACCAAACTTCTGGCCAAAATATCTTGGGAATAACAAGGTTTTCTCTTCCATAGACATTCCAAAAGCCTTAAAAGCAATTTTAACATAACAACAGGGAAGCTTTTCCACATTGTGACTTTTCAATGGGGTAGTGCATACAATGCTTAAATGGATTCTCCTCTAGCGATCAGAAAGGAAGAGAATTATTGAAAAGAACAGCAAAGAAGTGAACCTAAAATTAAAATGCACTTACACAATTAGCTCTGAGTTGTAGATACTGCTGCCACGAGGAAGAACAGAACATGACAATAATTGCTGAGGTTTCCATAGAATTTCTAACCCTAAGGCATGTGGAGCTCTTTGCACATGCTGATTTGCATTGTCTGAAAACACTTTGCTAATAAACCAAATTAATCTCTGGAGAGGAGAGAACCAGCCCAACACATTCAAAGGTTAGTTGAAACAGAAGGAGAGTAGGTGGAGAGCAAAGTTCTATCCATAATAGAGTCTATTCAGGCACCAAAATTAGTTTTAAATCCTGTTTTGGACCTCTGGAATGAGTGGAGAGCCTGGCAAAGGACTGGGAGTTGGATCCAATAGTGCTGCATTATGAGGGATGGCTGTTTTATCTGAAGGCAGTTGTTGAAGTTGCACTCCATTATTTAAGTGGGAAGTTTCCACCAGGCCTGGGCCATGCCAGGAGGAGATGTCAGACACTTCACCTGCAGGATTTTGGGGCTGGGGGCTCTGTCTGTGCCAGGAGGAGCTGTCAGGCACTCCAGCTGCAGGATTTTGGGGCTGGGGGCTCTGTCTGTGCCAGGAGGAGCTGTCAGCCACTCCAGCTGCAGGAACGTGGGGCTGGGGGCTCTGTCTGTGCCAGGAGGAGCTGTCAGGCACTCCAGCTGCAGGATTTTGGGGCTGGGGGCTCTGTCTGGCCATGGATCCCTAATTCCAGCTGCAAGGCAGACCCTGCCCCAGCACGACACAGCTGCCCTCACTGCCCAAAGCACAAATCACACAATTAGAGGCAGACAAAGATGAGTGACATCTCAGTCATCTCGAAGCTCCAGGTGCCCTGCAGAGCCTCAGCTTCCCCACCAGACACAAACTGATCCTGAATCTTGTATGGGGCCAAATAACAAAAAGGGGTTTAGCTGCACTGTAATCTCTTTTTCCAACATCCAGGCATATTGAAAGGGATTATCTTTCAAAAACTGAAGGAAGCTGTGCTATTGCAAATCTCTAATCCCCTCTCTCCCTTTTGTAGGAAATAAGATAAATATCTTGATTTCACTCAGTACAATTACAAGAAGCTTTTCTCTTATCAGAAGCTCCCTGTTCCCTCCAGGGAGGCGTTTTTGGAGCTGGGACAAGGCTTCAGCAGTTCCTGCTCTTTGGGGAGCAGGGTTTGGGGGAAGGGGGCTCCTCTGACACAGGGTGGTAATTTGGGCTTTGTGGAACAAACACATTCCTGCACCTGAGGGTTCCTCTGCTCCTGGACCCTGCAGCAGATCCCAAATCTCCCCTGACTCAGCCCAAATGTGTCTGAGTGACCTCAGATGGTCCCAGCTCCCTGTGCCCTGAGAGCCCCAGTCCCAGGGAATGGCACAGAAAGGCTGGCACTGATGCCCAGCTGGAAAACCACGCCAGGGAAGTTGGAACATAAGTTTGGTTGTAAATATTGGCAAAGCTTCATTAAAAAATTAAGAGCGCTCCCTCAAGAAATGACAAAACTCTTTTTTTAGTTGTTACTGAGTCTAATCATCCCTCGTATTTTTAGAGAATTCCTTTCCAGGTTGGCAGCTAATGAAATTTAGGTGAAAATCAAATTACTCTTGGCTATTTAACAACATTAGCATTTCCAGGCAGCAGTGAGATCCCCTCAGCTTGGGCTTGGTCTGGAGCCACTTCTGCTGGCACAGGGAGCTGATCCCTGGACTGAAACCTCTGGAGTGGAAAACACATCTTGAGCAACCTCTGGCTGCCCTGCCCTGGGCAAAACGAATGAAATATCACTGAAGTCATAATTTTTAGATGCTCATCGTTTGCTGTGTCTCTCAAGCTTTTGCTCAGGAATTTCCAAAAATAGAATTTATTGGGAGCGTGGACCTTGGCAAGGGGGGAAGTTCTTCCCTGATGGTGCCATGAATAAAGGAACTGCTGGAGAAGGGGCAACACAGACCCAAAAGCTCTGGAGGTGCCACCAGCACAAAAACTCCACAGTTGCCTCCAAAATACCTCCAAAAATGCCCAGTGCAAACCCAGGGTGAAACAGGGAGTCTGGGGAATGGAGAGGAGGGCAGAGCAAGCCCAATGATTCACCTGGGGCTCATGAACTTGTCCTGAAGGAGACAGGACCTGTCAGAGCTCTGACTCATCTTGCAGGATCATGAAAATTCCCAGGCAGTCAGAAATTTTAAACCTTTCCAAGCCCTGAGTGTGCTGCTCTGCCTTGGGGAGCTCCGTGGTCTCTTCACATGCCTGAGTGCCCAGGGAAGGATAAAGAACAGGAGGAAGAAGAACAGGAGATATTTTACCTGTCAGCCCAGATCCCAAGAGACCCACTGGGTGCACCAGGAACAGCTCTGAGGGACAACCTCTGCATTTCCTGAGCTGAGCCACAGCTGCAACCCATGAAATCCCACCCTCACAGGTGGGGTGGGGTCACTGCTGCACCCCCAGCACCACCTGTGCTGTGGGGGAACCCTGGCTGAGAGCCACACATCACCAACCATTCAAAAAACAGCATAAACCGTTCAAAAAACATCACAGCCCGTTCAAAAAACATCACAAACCATTCAAAAAACATCACAAGCCATTCAAAAAAACATCACAAACCATTCAAACACCCACACAAACCATTCTATGGTTCCAGGATTCTGTGATCACTCATCCTTTTGCTCCACAGCAGCTCTGAGCACTTTACTACCACCAGGGATTTATTTTTATTCCACTGGATCCATGGAGCTGTTAAACCTCTAAAAACTGGAGCCTGAGGTGCTGCACTCCTGTTCCAGTGGCAGCAGGGAGCCCTGGGGCTCACTGCACTTCCAACCCCACAAAGTGCTCATTTCTGCTTTTCTCCACTTTGTTTCTCTTGGCTCATTCAAGAGAAAAATCAGGAATCGTTATCCTTTGGAGAAATCCTATTGACATTTGGAGAAGACCTCTCAGTGCTGGAAAATGAGTGGTAAATAAACCTCTCACTAGAGCTTTCCCTGGAGAGAGCAATGCAGTGCTCTGAGCACTTCTGAGAGGAAATGGGAACACAGCAGAGTGACCTCCCTGACCCAGGTGTTGCAGAGTTTGTCTGCTCTGATCATTGCTCAAATGTATTTCACCCAAAGTCATCTTCTTTGCCGTGGCAAAATTTCACAACTTGTTTTATCCAGGAATTCCAGCAATGCTGACCTGGCTCCCCATCCACTTGTGCTGTACAAGAGTTCAATAATTCATGGAGGCAGGAGTTTGTCGGTTTGTGTTGAATAAATATCTACTTGTGACAGAAGAAATGCAAACAATCTGTTTCAAGGGGAGCACAGCATTTTTCAGATGATTTTGGCTTTTTTCAGTCTGGTGTTGCACAGAGCCCTGAGCACCCAGAAATCCCCATCTATTTACAGTTCATTATTGTGCTAATTTTTGTCATTTGTTCAGCACAAGGTCTGTCCCTCTTGCCACGGCCCTCCCTGCCAGGGGACAAAAAGCAGCTGTAAAATCCCACTGGCACAACCTCCCCATTTGCAGAAACTTTTGGTCCCCTTTCCTAAAGGAGATACAGCAGAGAGCATCCAAGGGTCAAGACCAAATGATGCCAAAATTCACACACAACTTCTGCATTCTCCCAGCTCTTTCCTGGGCACACCCGGGCACACCTCTGGAGGAACTGCTCCCTACAAACCCAGGCTGTCTGAGCCCCTCAGGTTGCTTTTGCCCTGTCCCTTTCTAATAAATTGCAGGGATAATTCTAATAAATAATTGCTGCCCCTTCCACCAAGATGCTGCAAAATGAAAGCAATCCTGTACAAACTCCTCTTGCTGGTAGCTGCAGGCTCTGGGCAGCCCTGGGCTGATGCCTTCAGTTTAAGCTTTGATATTTCCCAGACTCTGCACTGCCCTGGTACAGAACTCTGAACTCCACATCAAGTGTCAGCAGCTCTCCTCACAGCTCAGGCACACAGAACAATCCTTTTCCAGCCCAGAACCAAGGACACCGCTGCAGCTTCAGCCCAAAAAGTGCCACCAACAGGGAATGGAGGAGAGCAGTCTGGGAGGATGGGACTGCATCAGCTGGAGCTGGAATTGGACACTGAACCCCAGTATGGAATGGACCAAAACTGATCAAAGAGTGAGAACTCGTGGCCAGGAGTCCACCTGGGGTGGAGCCACGGCCGGGCTCCTGCACTGCCCAAGGTGTAACCTTTGAAGGGCTTTTAATAAATCCCTGCTTTACTCCTTTAACACTGTAGCCTAGGTGGCCTTCTAGGCAGCCTCTGAAGGCATCAGGGCATGTTACCATGATATTTTATGAAAAATCCCTTCACCAGGATTTCTTCTCCTGGGAAGATGAGAAGCCTCAGAAGAAAAGAAAAACAATATTATCTGATCGCTTCTCCCTGTGTTTTGCTGCTTTGGAATGCGGCAGATACATCTTTGATTGGTTCCATGTGAATTGTTTTTACTTAATGACCAATGCCAGTCCAGCTGTGTCAAACTCTCTGGTCAGTCACAGGTTTTTATCATTCATTCTTGCCTAGCCTTCTGATGTAGCCTTTTCTCTATTTTTTTAGTAATATAATATAATGTAATACAATATATCAGCCTTCTAAGAAACATGGAGTCAGATTCATCTCTTCCCTCATCCTGGGACCCTCACAACAACCCAACAAGGGCAGACTCACCTCAGCACGTGCGTGGAGCCGTTGATGGTGGTGGTGGAGCAGGGCACGGTCTGGCCCAGGATGGAAGGCCTTCGGTAGCGCTCGTCGCCACAGCAGAGGATGATGAGGAAGGCACGTCTGAAAGCCTTGTTGAGGAAGGCGTAGAGGAAAGGGTTCAAGCCCGAGTTGATGTAGCCCAGCCACAGGAAGGCCGTCCACAGCTTGCCGGGCACGGTGTAGTTAATGAAGGGATCCACGATGTTGGTGACAAAGAAGGGGGCCCAGCAGAGGCAGAAGCAGCCCATGATGATGCACAGGGTCTTGGCAGCTTTGGTCTCGGTTTTCATGCGGTGGCTGCTGTGCTGGTCGGGGTGGTGCTGCCGTGGCTCATGAGGGCCATGCTGTGGCTCCTGAGGGCTGGGCCGTGGCTCCTGGGGGCCAGGCCATGACTCCTGGGGATGCTGCCATGGCTTCTGGGGGTGCTGCCATGGATCCTGAGGGCCGTACCGTGGTTCCTGGGGGCCCTGCCGTGGCTCCTGAGGGCCGTGGTCTCGGTTTTCATGCGGTGGCTGCTGTGCTGGTCGGGGTGGTGCTGCCGTGGCTCATGAGGGCCATGCTGTGGCTCCTGAGGGCCGGGCCGTGGCTCCTGGGGGTGCTGCCATGGCTTTTGGGGGTGCTGCCATGGCTCCTGAGGGCCATGCCGTGGCTCCTGAGGGCCCTGCCGTGGCTCCTGAGGGCCCTGCTGTGACTCCTGAGGGCTGTGCCATGGCTCCTGGGGGCCCTGCCGTGGCTCCTGAGGGCCGTGCCGTGGCTCCTGAGGGCCGTGCCGTGGTTCCTGGGGGCCCTGCCGTGGCTCCTGGGGGCCCTGGCGGGGCTCGGCCGGGTTCCCCGCGCGCTGCAGCAGGCGGATCTGCCGCGCGTGCGCCCGCGCCGTCACGTAGATGCGGTGGTAGGCCAGCACCATCAGCAGGAAGGGGATGTAGAAGGCCACCACGGAGCAGGTGATGGCGTAGGGCTTGTTCACCATGAAGATGCAGTAGGTGGAGTTGGAGGCCTTGTTGAATTGTCTTTGCTGGATCTGGGGTGCGGAGGGGAGGGTGAGGCAAGGAAGGAGGGAAGAAGTGGGGATCAGAGAACGGGCTGGGTTGGGAGGTGTCAACTACACGCTCATAATCTCAGTGCTGTCAATCAGTTTAAGAAGCTTTCTCTACGGCCTCAGGTCAAATGTAGTGCTCTCTTGACTGTCAGAGTCTGTCAGCACAGAAAGTCTAAAATTCTCAGCGTCCAGGACTCCAACAGGGAGGGACCTTAAAAATCCTCTTGTGTTACCCCCTGTCATGGGCAGGGACACCTTCCACTAGACCAGGTTGCTCCAAGCCCCATCCAGCCATCCTTGGGCACTTGGACACATCCACAACCTCCACGAGCAACCTGTGCCAGGGCCTCACCACCTCCCAGGGAAGGATTTTTTCCTAATATCCCATCTAACCTGCCCTCTGCAGTGTGCAGCCTTGTCCTGGCACTACAAGCTCTTGCTTTTTCTACCAAGAGAATAATCCTGCCTCTTATTTTAGTGAGAGCTGCAAAGGCTGAGGGGACCAAGGACTCCTGAGGTGTTGTCAGGGGCCAGCTGGGCTTGGCCTCTTTTCCAAGGACTCCTCACTGAACTGGGAGTGAATGTGGCTAAAATCCTCTCCCAGGCCACCCCTGTCCCTGTGTCAGTCCTTCCAGGACAGAGCCACCTCAACCCCCCTTAAAGACCCCTCCAGAAACTCAGCAGCCCCTCCACACTGCCAACAAGAAGTTTCTCCTTCTTTTCCCCTTTCCCTGAGAACTGCTTTTTAGAGAACATCCAGCACCCATCCAGCACACTGGATTGGCGTCCCTGCTTGGCTGCTCACCAGATCAATGATGCCAATGCTGTTCCAGCCCTGCATGATGGGGAGGAAGGAAATGAAGGTCGGGATCACCCAGCAGCCTCCCAGCATCAGCGTGATTCGCAGCGGGGTCATCTTGTTCCTGTACACCAGGGGCTGGCAGCAGATGGCATAGTACCTGCAGGGCAAAAACGGGGTCAGAAAGCAGCTCCTTCATGCAGAAAAGCCAATTCTTTATTCCCATAACTCATTGTTCTGTAGTTTTCACGGACTTTGTGTTCAACCCCAGTTGGCTGGGAGTTTTCCTGGCGCTCAGTTCATTGGTTAGAAGGTGTTTTTGTGTGTACCTGTTCAGACTTTTTCTATTCACAGGTGTTTATGTATTCTTTGTGGGCTCTAAAATTATTATTTATTTCTGAGAAGACCAGATCAGCAAATATCCAGTTGCAGACTTTCACTGGTCCTGACCTGACAATCAGTCTCAGATTCCCAATAAAATATTTTTTGCTCTTTAGCTTTTTGGATTCTTTAAAAAAATTATGAGGGCAGCAGAACCATGAATTAGAAGAATTAAATCAGCAAGCACACGTGTGTATTAAAGAGCTGCTCTTCGAGATGTGCATTTATTTCATCAAGATTTGAGTGGGACCAAGAGCTTTGTCCTAAACAGGCACAAAAATATAAGAATTTCCATTTTTTCCTAAGGTTTTTTTTTTTTTTAAAGTCATGTGGAGTCAACCGAATTGCTTTATTTTGATAAAATCAGATGATATATTCCACACAGAGGTTTGAAATAATATCAAAGTGTCAAAAGAAAACATTTCTTAAAAGTCTCTTTGAAACAAGATTCAAAATGTCACAGGGGAAAAACGCTGAAACAGGCATTCAACTCCTGCAATTTGATAATTCCTCTGTTCTCCTCTGGTTTCCTGTGTGCATGAAAAATCAGCCTGTTCCTCTGGAAAGCTGCACTTCCAAAAAATGGGATTTGCCAGGAGCTGTCTTTTAGAGCTGTGGGTGAAATGTTCCTCTGGTGGAGCTCCAGCTCCCCTGGGGCTGATCCCTGTCCAGGAAATGACCTTGGAATTCCAGCAGCAATTTTGGGGACGTTTACTGGGACAGAGGGAGCTTCAGAGCTGCTCCTCTGACTCAACACAAAGGATCTGTAATAAATTTAAACTATTTCATTGTTTCTTATCTCAAAGTCACCCACTGGAAGTGCTGGACATCAAAGGCATCAAAGGCAAGGCACGAGAGACTCCATTTCTTTGCAGAAAGGGCAAAAGAAGAAATCCAATAAATGAGAGGATAAAACCAGCCAAGACAGCAGCTAGCCTTTGACAAGTTGGATAAGCAAACAGGAAGAGAAAGCCACTGTACACTGGTAATTAAGTGCAGCAGGAAAACAATTCTTGCCAGCAGTTTGAGTGATCACATTTCTCTGCTCCTCTCTCAGCTGCAGCTGAAAGAATTACACTGAATTGTTCCTGCTATTAAAGGCCATTAGAGTAAAAATTATGCCTGTAAAAATGACACCTTAAGCTCTCATATTTCTTCCCTCCCAGTGATTCAGCAGCAATTTTCCTCCACTTTCATGTCAGAAGATTTTATTTTATTTCACTTTCCCTGCTACCAGAACTTCCCCCGTGCTCAGCCAGCCCAGCTGGGCTCCTCCTGTCACTGTTTTGGGTGACAAAGTGCCCTGAGCAGGGTGTGGGTGACAGCTGTGTGGTGGGGAGGGAGGCAGAGGAGCACAGCAGCCACTCCTCAGAGCCCAGCAGGGTTTCCATCCCAGGAATCAGATATCAGACAGCCGTGGGTGCCACCAGAAGGCCTGGAAGTCACAGCTGGTGCAGGAGCTGGTGGTTTGATGTATGTGGTGGCCTGAGCATTTAAGCAGCTATTTATTCACTGGGAGAAAAGTAATTATATCTGTGAGATTGGAAATAGTTTTAGTCAGAGGCTGGAATAAAGACATGCTCTGTACTCCTGCTCCATCCCAAGGCTGAGCTGTTTGCCTGGGCTCCCAAGGAACATCTGTCACATGCTGCTGTGGCAGCCTGATGGATGAACACAAAATGCAATACATACACATCATTAATGCCATGTCCAGGCCCAATTAAATATTAATTCTCTCTATTATCAGACAAGTTCCTTGCAAATGTTCACTTCCCTGTTCCCTACAGCAGAGGAGCTGGTGTGAAACCTCCTCTCCTCTGCAATGACATCCTCCACTGAAGGGGAAACACAGGAATCCCTTCCCGGAGCTGCAGCTCTTCCAACAAAGCAAAGGTTAATATAATACTTCTCCTTCTCCTTATCAGACATTTGCCACAGGAATGAATCAAGTGCTACCATTTCACAGGTGGCTGAAAAGAAGAAATCCATCATTTCTCTGGCCTTATGGCTCTTTGGCCACTGCAGAAATCACAGAATCACAGAGAAGGTGTGGAATCCTCTGGACTACAGGAAGGGACTTGGGAAGGGACCTTAAAGATCATTTAATTCCACCCCTGCCATGGCAGGAACACCTCCCACTGTCCCAGGCTGCCCCCAGCCCCAGTGTCCAACCTGGCCTTGGGCACTGCCAGGGATCCAGGGGCAGCCACAGCTGCTCTGGGCACCCTGTGCCAGGGCCTGCCCACCCTCCCAGCCAGGAATTCCTTCCCAAATCCCACCTATCCCTGCCCTCTGGCAACGGGAAGCCATTCCCTTGTCCTGGCACTCTTTTTCCATCTTCCCCCAGGCACTGGAAGGTCTCAGTTGGGAACCAGTTCCACAGTTCTGCAGTTCCTGGATCTGCCTGCCAGCAGCACAATGGGCTGTGGGCCATGGCAGGGAATTATTGATTTATCCAAACACCTCCTCAATCCCCTGGCTGTGCAAAAACTGCCCTGGAGTGCTCAGCTCCTGCCTCAGCCCCACTGAGGCTCTGACCACAGCCCTGCTCCTTCCTGCCTCCTGGGCACGGCAGAAATGGAATTACTGAGCTGCAGGAGATCATTCCCTGCCCCTGGAGAGAAATTAAAGCATCTCCTGGTTTGCAGTGCAGTTTGGAGCTGGGAGCCTGCAGGCACAACCCTGCAAGGAGCTCTTCAGCTATCACAGACAGACAAATCCACCCCCAGCCTTATTAACAGCCTGGCTCTGGGGGTGGCCCACACTTCAAAGCATTTGGTGTCATGTGCATATGGAAAATGATGTACAGAGCATATGTTGGACCATCCTGGGGCCAGGATGAGCCACAGAACACTCACTGAGCACTCGCACTGAGTAATATTTCACCCCCCCTTAAATCATCGGGGAAAAAAGAAGCCAAAAGATAGAAAACTGGGAAAAAAAAAAGACAAAAGGATGGCAAAACTGGGAAAAAGAATAAAAAAGGATGGGAAAACTGGAAAAAAAAAAAGAAGACAAAAGGATGGGAAAACTGGATAAAAGAAGGCAAAAGGGTGGGAAACTGTGGTTGCTGCTGGTTCTCTCCCAAAGTTAGGGTGCAAGTGTCAGTGGGAGGTCACTGCCCTTGTCCTTGTCCCTCAGGGAATCCAGATGGGGACAGAGTCTCCAGCTGAGCCCTGACCAAGTGATGAACCTAAGGAGCCACAATTTCAATTTATTTGCGCCTTTGGGAAATTAATCCAACACTGCTGTTGCTGATATTTCAGTGAAAACAGGTTCTGGCCTCTGTATAACCAGATTTTAACATTTTTTTGGAAAGAACAGCTCTTTCTATTTTCCTTTTTCCCACTGAGCAAATAAGCTTTGGGCTCTCGTTGTGCCAAAGAAAACAAAGTTCTGCATCGTTGGTCCAGAAAAAGAAAATGTCCTAAAATGATTATATCTAACAAAATTAAATTCTTATTAGAAAAACAACGGCCTGCTGGTGTTGAGATAATTACACTGAGAAAAATGCTAAAGAGAACAGTTAATTGGAGCTGGATAAATTTAGCAGGGAACACAAACAAATAGATGTTGCCAAATGGAGAGAGAGGGGGCTCCTGATGGTCCCCATGAGGCTGAGGTGTGTGGAGGGTTATTGGCAGCGAGGGTGACGAAATAAATGAAATATTTCTGGAGGGTTTGCAAAGATGAATAAAGGGCAGCGCGTCCCCCAGCCCGTGCCGTGGCCATCTGCTCTGGGATTTTGCTCAGTGCTGTCAGACCTGCGTTCTGCAGTCCCCGGGCTGGTGTCCTGCCGGGCAGGGACAGCTCCACAGCTGTGTCACCTCTCCGAGCCGTGGGGACAGGCCCAGCTGTCCCTGCCTGCGCTGCCCCTCTGCTCCTGGATCTCTGGCTGAGATCCAGGTGAATTTACAGCCTGGGCACAGCTCCACCTGGAATGTGGGGCATTTAATCAGACTGTAGCCATTAATTACTGCCAGCTAGCCAAAGTTTAATCACTCTCCCCACTAACAAGCTCCTGGTGGCCCTGGGCAGCCGGGGATGTCCCACTGCTGGGCACAGCAGCTTCCTCCAGCCTGGGAAGAAACTCTGTGCTCCCAACCACAGCCTGGGCATCCTTTGGGCACCAGCCAGTCCCTTGTGCCCCTCTGTGATCCATGGGAAGGGGATGAGCAGGGAATGCTGGGCTGGAGCACCAGGAGCAGGGCAGTGCCCACCCGCATCCCTCAGGGCCACGCTCCGTGCCCTGGCACAGGGACAGGGCTGCTGTCACAGGATGTCACCACAGGGCTCGGGAGGCTTTACAGCATCACCTCTCCCACGGGGCTGAGCTAATTTGCTGTCCATTAATGGTAATTAATGTTTGCAAACAGCACAAGGAGCAGCTGTCACTCTCCGGGTGCATCTGCCGTGCTTTAGCCCTGGCTTAGCAGGGATTTTGGGCTGTGCCTGAGTGTAGGATCAGTTTGGGATCAAAGGACACACTCAGGGCTGGTTTGTGGTGTGCAGGTGTCTGAAACACTCCAGCAAACAGAGCAGCCACAGGGACACAGCCCTGGGGGGAGCTGGGACAGCCAGGAGGGGGCAGGGGCAGGAGAGGATGCTCCAGCTGCACAAAGAGGTGCCAGATGTGCATCCAAACCCAAACCCACAGACATTTGGGACCTGTTTGTTTCTCTGATCTTTTCCCCAGCCCCCAAAGACTTTGAGAAGTAATTGCATTGCAAATTGGACTGCAAATATTGGAGGAGAAAATTGCCTCTCCTGACAGGTCCGCTGTATTTGGAGACTCCGTCAGAGCTTCTGGGTCTGTTTATCTGCAGTGCAATTATTTTTTATTGCACTGGCACAAAAAACGGACATGTATGCATAAAAAATGCAATAAATAAATATTTCAAGGGTAAATCTCTCTAATATATTAGAATATCAAAGAGATTATGAAGAAGCTTAAGGCAGTGGCAGCAAACTTTGGATTCAGTGAGCCCTGAGATGCCTTTGCTACCTTGGAAAAATCCCTTTTCCAGCTGAGACTGGCAGAGGCTGTCTGCAGTACTTTTCTCCCTGTGTCTGAGCAGTAAAATCAGATTATTATGTGGTGATTTCTCCAGATTTTCTCCAATGCCTTTGAGAATTCAAGCCTCAGAGCTTGTTTCCTTCTTTTCCAGAGGCAGCAGTGGAAATAGTTACAAGACTTTATCAGATAAAAATCTTTTCAAGCAACACTTTGTGAATATGTTGAAGGGAATGACTTTCAAACTGAGTCTCTAGGATTAGATTAACCACCCAGTTTTCTTAAAAAAACCCCTTAAAACTCACATCTGCATGCTCTGAAATAAAACAGAAGGCAGGAAATAGATCACAGAAAAACTACCAACTAGAAGCAGCACACTCCCGTAAATTCTGAATGAACACAAGAGCAAACAGCTGGAAAAATTGAATTAAGTCCTGGGAAGGAAGCAGTGCTGCCCTTGCAGCCCAGGGAGGATCGATGCTGGGCTGAGTCATCCCTCCCTCCACAAAAACCTCTCATTCATCCACCTGCTCTGCCCTTTTGGGGTCATCCACCGCCTTCTCCTCATCTGCTCTGGCCCCTTCACACTGTTCTCAATCAGTCCTCGCTGTGGAAAAAACCAACCCCAAACCAACTAAAAAATGTCAGAGAAACTCAAGTTAATGCCAAGGGCCCAGGTGGAGAAGTATCCCTAAAGCATCATCAACTCCAAGCCCAGGCTATCCCAGGATCTTGGGGACAGAAGGGGACAGTCAGCAGGAGCAGGAGTTCTGCACATGGGGGGTCTCCAGGAGGGCAGGAGAAAGGGGGAACCTCCTTTCTGTGCCCTCACACAGGAGGTTCCTCATCCCCTGCTGCAGATGAAATCCCCTTTCCCTTTCTCTCCACAACCCTCTCTATTTAATTAAGAGCCTGGAGAATCAAACTCCAACATTTCAGAGAGCTAGGTCGTGTCCAGAGCACGGTGCCCAACATCTGCTTTCCTGGTAATTGGCTCCGAGTGGCAATTTGTCAATGGTTTGAAGATAACGAGCTTCCCATTTGTGTTCCAGCCATCTAAACTTGCAGGTAAGAACAGGAGCTGTGGCTGTTGGACGTCAGCTTCTCTCTGGATACAAAACTGCCTGTGCTGCTGCCCTGCCTCCCACCCCACAGCACTGCTGCCCATCAATACAGAGGTTAAGCAACTTTTTTTTTGAAGTCTGGCTGCGCTCAGACTCTCAAGGTACTGAAATGCCACATATTTAAATATCAGCTGTCACAATAACAAGAATAATTATGGTTATTTTGGCCCTGTTAGCAATACTAAGTAACAGGGTTTTTAAAGGATTGAAATCTCCACACAGAACTCAAAAAAAAAAAAACCCCAAAAAACCCTCTAAAAATATTATCAGAATAGCCAAAATGTTTTCTACTGAGTGTTTATCTTGTGAAAAACTCTTATGGAAGTTCTGCCATTTACCCAAAAATCTGCAGACAGCAGTCAAACAGAATTGCTCACCACAAATTATTGAGGCTTTGGGCTTTATTTTTAGGTGGCAAGAAAAGCTTGAAACAAAGGAAAGTTTCTAGGATCTCCCAGGACATTTAGGCTGGAGAAGACCTGTGCCCAATGCCCACCTTGTCACATCCAGGTGACACCTCCAGGGATGGGCACTCCAAACCTCCCTGGGCAGCTCCAAGGCCTGAGCACCCTTTCCATGGGGAAATTCCTGCTGGTGTCCACCCCGAGCCTGCCCTGGTGCAGTTTGAGGCTGGTTCCCCTCATCCTGGGAGCAGAGGAACCTCTCTGCTGGAACAAGCCCTGTACACGATGTCCCTCCCTCTGCCCCAGCTCAGCTCCCACCTCTGCACACATTCGAGGTGTCTTTACTCCAAAGGAGGAACAGAACCACACCTGGCCAGTGCTGCCAACAGAGCTGTGCAAACAACAACCCAGGCTCTCTCCAAAAATCTCATCCCCTTCCGAATTTCTCTGCCCTCATCAGGGTTCTCTCCGAAATCATCCCCTGGGAGGGATTTATTGCTCTGCCATTCCCAGCAGGTCCATCTTTGCCCTCTGGCAGCTCAGGACAGCCCAGAACTGAGCAGAGCCTTCCAGCAGTGCCCCTCTGCAGCTCGTACCTGTCCAGGGAGATGCAGCAGAGGTGCAGGATGGACGCTGTGGTCAGCAGCACGTCCAGGGAGGTGCGCACCAGGCAGAACATCTCTCCGTAGATCCAGTTGTCCTGAACCAGCTCCATGGCTCCAAAGGGCATCACCAGCACCGACACCAGCAGGTCAGCAAAGGCCAGGGAAACGATGAAATAGTTGGTCTTGATTTTCCTGCGAGGCAGATCACAAAATTAGGGTGGGTTCAGTGCAGCAGCCTACACACATGGACAGAGATTCCAGCTTGAATTTGGGCTTAATCTGCTCTGTTGCACTAAAAGCTCCTCTCTAACACACTCCTCACTTTATATGTCACCCCTGGCTTGCTCCTCGTTGTTAAAGCTAAATATCCACCATTTTCCTGGCCTAAACAGATCTTTCTGCTCACCCAGAGGAGGCAAATGGATGCTCACAGGCCTCTGCAGGTGGCTCAGCCTCACAGCTTGCACTGGAGACTCTGGGGTGGAAGAAGGGGATTTTATTTTAACTTGTAAATGGAAAAAATCCTTCCAGAAAGCACTGAGAATAATCTAGACTGAAGCTGTAATTTTAACTTGAAGAGTACTTTTTAAATCACAACAATAAAATAGAATTAAATCCATTAAAAATCCCACGCAGCACATGAATAGAGGCTGTTAAATCTCTCTCTCTGCTCCTAAGGCTGGGCTGACAATTCCCAGGGTTAGCAGCAGCCTTGAGACAGGAATTGTGCCTGTGACCCCCTCAAATCACGGGTAACATTTGCTAAGTTGTGCTGGTGCTGCACAACTACAACCAGACCTTGGTCTGTGCACTGCTGATGAGCTCATTGGGAAATTTGAGATGGAAAAGGGCCAGAGGCCAACCTGGGAATTGCTGCTTCACTGTGCTTTTCCCTGATTTGTCTGGTTTTCTACACCAAGAATGCTAAAAAGATGAGGATGGGAACTTAAACGGTGCCAGCACTGCGGGATGAGCCGAGGGCAGGGAGGGTCTGCAAGGCAGGGGCACCTCCCTGGGGGCAGCTCCTGCCCTCAGCTCATCAGGAGGAGCTGTATCCCTGGGGTGGGCTCACCTGAGCTGCCTGTCCAGGCACAGGGCCACCACAACCACCAGGTTGCCCAGTTGGGTTGGCCACCATGACCAGCAGGTTGCCCAGTTTGGTTGGCCACCATGACCAGCAGGTTGTCCAATCTGGTTGGCCACCATGACCAGCAGGTTGCCCAGTTTGGTTGGCCACCCTGACCAGCAGGTTGCCCAGTTTGGTTGGCCACCCTGACCAGCAGGTTGCCATCTCAACACTGGTGATGTTCGCGCATCTGGGACTCAACCCATGACAGATCTCCATTGTTTCATCAGCCAAACAGCCTGTTTGATTGCCCCTGAACAGCTTTTACAGGCAATTCAAAAACTCCCAGTGCTTCACAGTCATTGGTCTGGTCCCTAAACCCCCCAGGCTCTGAGCCAGCCACATGCTGGTATTTCAGGAAAGTTGCTACTGGTTGGAACCTCTGCCAGTCAGCCCACACTGGTTTATGGAGCCGGGCTGGACTTTTTATTTATCGCTTGATTAATGCTAACCACAGATCAGCTTGTCCTGCAGAGTCAGGCTGTGTCCCAGGGGGGCTCACCTGAGCTGCCTGTCCCGGCACACGGCCACCATGACCAGCAGGTTGCCCAGGATGGCCATGAGGATGACGGCGGAGATGAAGGAGAGCAGCACGATCTTCTCCGCGATGCCGAAGCCCTCACTCGAACTGGGGGGAACCAGAGACAAAAGTGGGAGAAACAAGGCTCACTCCTTAAAATTTTTCAAAATTAAAAGGGACAGTACAGTTGGGGTGCTCGGCAAACTGCCCAGAGCACACCAGTGAATTAAAACAACTTTCCTTATATATTTTTTCATTGCACTGATCAGATGCTTATTTATGAAGGTTATACATATTCAAATATTCCTTTGAGTTCTTTCACATGTTCTGGGAATTCTTTAGTTTTGTTTGACTCCTGACCCCTGCAATAGTGCAGATTTGAGTTTTGGGGGTCATGTATGTCATTTCCTTACAATGTACATATCATTTCCTCACAATTTATATGTCCTTTCCTCACAATGTGTATGCCATTTCTTCACAACAACAAATAGGGGATTATTGACAGTGACAAAGTCAGTAGTAGAAGTCTTTTTCACATCATTTCTTTTAATGTTATCTGTGTGGTTCTTTCAGTGTTGTCTAATCATACAGTTTTAGCTGTTTCTACAAACTTATTTAAGTTATTCTCACTATAGTCAGTTAGTTACAAAAATAAAAGTATCCTGCAAAAGCTAACACTACACAGTCTCTATTTAAATATTTTGTGAAAGCCTAAACTACAATATATTTTTATCACACTATTATAATAATAAATAAGCCACACATTGGCCACAAAAGCTGATAAATTGGCCACAAAAGTTGATAAATTATTCTGTATCAAAACCAGTCCATCAGTGATTACAAACTGTGCTACGTCGAAATCGTTGCGATAATAGTTTGCAAACTAATAGTTTGCAAAAGTTAATACATAACACAGAAGCCAACAACTACAGTTATTTATAACAAAAGGGAAGGAGCTGCAGTGGCACTGGGTGCCCCCATCCCACCCATCCCAGGCACGGATGCCCTGGGCAGGTGAGCCCCACAGCCCTGCAGGACCCACTCAGCACAGCTGGGTGACCCTGACAGCTCAGAGCCTCTGCACAAAAACCTCTCCATTCTCTTTACACAAAAATAAATCATGTTATTTTCCATGCAGAAGCATTTGTTTGTTTGTTTGTTTGTTTTCTGTCATTTTTTTTTCATTTTTTTCACAAGGTTTTAGTATCGTAAAATCACAGAATGGTTTGGGTTGGAAGGGACCTTAAAACTCTTCTCATTGCACACCTTCTGCTATCCCAGGTGGCCCCAAGCCCTGTCCAACCTGGCCTGGGACACTCCAGGGATGGGGCAGCCACAGCTGCTCTGGGAATTCCATCCCAGCCCTTCCCCACCCTCACAGGGAAGGATTTTTTCCTACCTGTAACCTCAATTTCCCCTTTTCCCTTCTGAACCCATCACTCTTTGTCACTACAGTTCCCGATGTGATGTGACAAGGACTAATGGGTTCAAACTTTCCTCCAGACAAGCATTTTACGTCTTCAGTTTCGCAATCTACATAATGTTTTACCTTTTTCTCTCTTCATTCTGTGCTACACAACACAAAACTGTCTGGCTTTTCACTTAGTAATTTTTTCCAGAGTTAGAGAAAGGAAATATTTTTTTTCCCAAGTGCCTAATTTTCCCCTACTCTGAGATCAATAATTTCTTACAGTTAACGAAGAGGAAGATAAAAAAAGGGAAGAATAACACAAATTTCCCCCAGACCCCAAAATGTCACTCATATTTTAAATCTGCATTTCTACAAATAATTTGCTGTATCAAAGAAAGTTTTTGATTTTTTTTTTTTTCCCCAGAGCTTGCAAAGCAGAAGGTAACACCCAGGATGCAATAAATTCCTCATAAACCTGATTTTATTACAAAATTTTGAGTTATTTTTCCCTTAAAGCGATTTCTAATGCTATATCCTGAATAAACTGCATCCTAAACCTTCACCTGCTTGTGTGACTTCACATCACACAGGTTGTTCCTGTTATCAAGTGTGGCTGGAGATAAACTGGCATTAAAAGCAACACTTGACACTAATTCAGCAGGGAAATTTCTTCTCAGCCTACAGAGCTGGTGTTGGACACCCAGGATTAATGCTGTGACACCGCTCAGGTAATTGAAAAATGGAACTGTTGTTCTGTTTTACCTTCACTGACCCTGGGGTCACCTTTTATGTACTAAACAACATCCCAGGCTTTTTACACTTTATCTCTCTGAGCTCTCCTGATTTGGAGAAAAGCTAAAAGGGATTAGAAACTCCTGGCACACAGAGATGTTGAGTTTTACTCACGCAAACAAGCTCTGGAAATACCAGAGGAGTGCAGAAATGAGCCAGACATTTCTCCAGACATTGCATGTGGGGGGGATTCCACCTTTGAGAGTTTTAAATCCACATTTCCCACCCTGTCCTGAGGGTGGTGGCATCCTGGTGGCATCCCTGGGCAGAAGTGGTCACCACCAGGCTCTGAGCAGAGCCCAGCAGGGCAGGACCTCCCCCTGGCACATTTGGGAGAGGAGCTTTAGCTCTGAAATCAGTTTTGGGAGTGTTTCCCTCGTGCCATTTCCCACTGCTCCCCTGGGGAACATCCAACAGGCAGATGCATCGCTGGGGTGCAGGAGGGATTTCATCTGGGCTCTTTCTGCCTTTGGAATAATCCATCATCAGGAATACATGTTAATTATTCACTCTTAGTAATTCCAAGTTGTTAATAATGGAAGAAGTGGATATTGCTGTAAATTGAAATCAATGGTTTGCATAACATCTTTTATCAAATCGGAGTGCTCTGGCTTCCAAGCTTGCTTCCCTCTTTAATAAAGCAGAGATTGATGGGTTTGCTATTATGAGGAAATGAGATTCAGGCAAAATGATTGCTGGTTAGCAGGAATACAGAAATCACTTAAGGAAAAAGGTGAAATACTGATGGGGAATGAATGCTTAAAACCCACATATGGACATATTTAAAAAGCTCTTCTGCATAGTCATTAATGTGAAAGTGAAAAGAAGGGTAATTACTCTTTCAAGCTCAATTTTCACTTTCCTGTAAACACCCCAACTTTTCTAAATGAGCTCAAGTGCTTTTGCATATTTTCTGCAGCAGTCAAAGAGCACAGATCAGTCATGGGGGCAGAGCAGGCACATTCCCTGGATCCCACTGCACACAGAGGGGAAACCCCTGAGACTCAAAACTCACAGCAGTGGGAGCCTCAGAAAGAGTTCTCCTGATTTAACATTCCCTCGGGTGTGGGGAATAAAGGCTTGGGCTGATCGTTTCCAGCCAGGGCTTTTCCCTCTGTAATATTTCATAACCACAAATAAGCTGTCATTGGCCTCTCCTCTTTCCTGCTTCCCTGATTATTCCTAGGCATAAAAAAATCATTAGGCCTTAAGCACCTAAAAATCAAGATAAGCTGTTTATGAGTAAACCTGATAATGTGGCTCAGAACAGAAACATGACAATAGGGAAGTGATGATTTGATCTCTGCCTTTCCAGCTGTTACCACATCCTTTTCTAAAATATTAATCACAAGTCAGCATTAATCCAGAAGCATTTAATTTCCTTTAATGCCTTTAAATGCTGCACTGCTTTGCTTCAGCCCGTGCAGATGGCAGGACAGCTCCCAACAGATCCCAGTCAATTCTGCCCTTCACTTCTGTTTTAGAAACAGACTGAAATTAATTAAAGTATTGACAAGGCAGGAATAAACAGCACTCCACGTATCAAAATAACATGGTCATATGATTCGCTTATTTGAGTGGCTTTTTGAAAAAAAAATAAAATAAATTGTGGCAGCGGGGTGGGAAGGAAGGGATGAGGTTTTCTCCTTTTGTGCTGGTTTGAAACAAAACTCCTGATACCATCAGCAGCCCTGCACCATGAATCTCCCGGAGGCTGAAAGCTGCAGCGCTCCAGAGAATGAAGTGTTTTAAGCAGCTGATAACACTGATTAAAACCAATTGTCTGTCAGGATGAAGCAAAGGAGACAGGCTGTTGGGATGTTTCAGAAATTGCCGTGTGTGGGCTGGCGCTGTCAGTCCGCGCTGGGAGCGCTCCCCACTCTGGGGACAGGGACCTGCCACACACGGGGGGACCTGGGGAGACACCAGCACCTCCAGCCCTGCTCCCACCTCAGCCTCCGGGCCTGAATCTGGAATATCCTGAGCTGGAAGGGGCCCACAGGATCATCCAGCCCTGCACAGCCCCAGAATCCCACCCTGGCATCCCTGGAGCAGTGTCCCATTCCCTGGGGAGCCTGGGCAGTGCCCAGCTCCCTCTGGGGAAGAACCTTTCCCAAAATCCAGCCTGACCCTGCCTTGCACAGCCCCAGCCCTGCCCTGGCTGCTGTCCCTGCCCCTGAGCAGAGTCTGGAGCTGCAGACCCTGAAAGAATTTCGGATGCTGCCCTGGATCTGGCTGTACATCGCCTTTCAGTGCTTGTGGCTGTGGTACCAGGTGCTCTGCCTGGAGAAGAAGCCAGGGATCCTGCTGCTGTATTTTCATGGAATCTCAGAACCACAGAAAGGTTTGGCTTGGAAGGGATCTTAAAGAGCAGCTTCACTCCCCCAGCCACGGGCAGGGCCACCTTTCACTAGAACAGAGTCAAGAATTTCTTCCTAACCCCTAATCTAAATCCTCCTTTTTTCTTAGTTTAAAACAGTGTCCCCTTTTCCCATCTCAATCTCTATCTCCCATCCCTTCAGCTGCTCCTCCATGGTCCCTCCAGACCCTTCCCATCCCCGTGTCCCTCTTGGGAGGCTCTCCCAAGCTTTAGAGATGTTTTTCCCACTGTGATACCCAACCTGCCCCCAGGACTGGAGGTGAGGCTCTCACACAGGGCATGAGGAGCTCCCAGTGCCCAGCCCAGCAATCCCTGAGCTCTGCTCCCTGCATGGCAGCAGCACAATTCTGCCTTTGCCCAGTGGAAACTGGATCTGGGGCTGAGCACTCATCCAGGACCACGAGCTGATTTATCATGGCCTGAACCAACAGGCAGGAATTTGCACTTGGGGAATGAGGGAGGAAATACAGCCAGGCCTGGGGAGCTCTGCCTGAGCCCTGGGGCTCTCCTTGCAGGGCATGAGGTGCCAGCAGAGCCCTGTGTGTGCCCCTGCTGCAGGGCAGCACGGAGCCCTGGCTCTGCTCCTTGCCAGGCAGCACATCCACATTACATAATTGACACCCACGTGTGAGCAGAACTGCTGCAGGGCTGATGCCTGTGAGTACAGCCCTCGAAACCCATCAGACTGTCACCTGGAATATAAGCTAAAATTAACTTATGAAATCAGCATGAGGTTAAGATCACAGTATTTACATGGAGCAAAGGCAGCTGCTGCAAATACTTAGTTTGGCATCCTCTAACAACTTTCCAGAGGAGAGCCCTTGTGCCACCAAATCCCACCCTGGCACATCCACCTGGGCTCTGCAGCACCCTGGATTAATCTTTTTTCCTTACAATGTATTTGCAAGTCTGCAGACTTTAACCCAGCTGTCCCCTTCAGGTGCTGGACACTCCCCTTGTGTTCTCACACACTCTGGGATGTGCAGCACAGGGAGGAGCTGCAGCTGCCCAAGAGGAGGCACCAGGATGCTCAGAGGGATGGAGCAGCTCTGCTGGGAGAGCTGGGATTCTGTGCTCAGCCAGAATGCTTTAATGCAGCTGCCCAACACTCCACAACAATGAAAAAAACCCAAATCTCTGTCTTAGGCAGGGATTTAGACACACTACACAGCACAGTAGAGATGTTGTAACAATCATTTCTCTTTGTAAATGCTGAACAAAACCAAAGATCAAACACGTGTTTAATCAGAAATGCCTTGATCAGTTCCTAATTAGAATTGCTCCTGCAAAGGAAGCCCATGGCCTCTGCCAAACCAACAGCAGCTTCCTGAGGAACAGAGGGTGATGAAAGCAGCACAATAGCAATCCTGACTTTTGGTGCATATTCCATAATCATAATGTGATTATCCCCTCTTTTCTAGGTGGTTTTGCCTCTCTCCTGTCACCCACAAGGTTTGTTCAGCAACAAACAGCACAGAGCTGTGCTCAGGAGAGCTGATGGAGTGAAGCACCTCATGTCCAATATTCTTAATAATTGTCATTCATTTCCCTTCCACATTCTCCAAGTGCTGAGGGCAGAGCCCAGGGTGTTTTTCTGCACAGGAATGTTTGTAATTTGGCTACTGAACAGGATGATTTTACCTCACAGAGACATCACCATTACACACAGGCAGCACTCAAGCTTTGCCTCAGGAGCTCAGAAACAGGGAGGGACTGGGTGCAGATCCGTGACACAGAGTGGGAAAATAAAGGTTTAGGCTCACACCAAACACACTCTGAGTGCCCAGATTTCTCACAGAACTGAGAAAATGAGAATTATTGCCTCCTGCAATGACCAGGTGCAGAACTGGGGTGCACAGAGCCCACAGCTCTTCAGGAGTTGTGCTGCTGCTCCTGGGCTCAAAGCATTCAATGCCCTGTCTCTTTATACCTTTTCCTATAAAAATTCCCCCAAAATAAGTCCTGCCCTATGCCCAGAGATTTGTTACCACTTGATCAAAACCCCCTCTGGCAGTTCTCAGTCGTTCTCATTCTGACTTCTCTTTCTCCAGCCTTTGTTCCTGTCTCTGCCCAAAGCCCAGGACTTGCAAGATGATCAATTCAGAAACCATGAAGGTCCTGCTCTGCTTTTTCAAACAATATCTGCAGTCAGGAAAATATTGTTAGATGAGAGGCATTTAGTCAAGACCCTTGGAAGGATCCTGGAACGAGGCTGGCTATTAAAATATCCAGGCTGTGCCCTTTTCCCAATGCCTGTTTACACCCTGGACAGCAAAAGACAAATACAACTATTGGCTGTCCAACTTCTGATATTTCCTGGAGAGTTTCCCAGTTTCAAACCTCCAGAGGAACAAAAAAGTTCCTTGCAGTTACCTCTGCTAATGGAAGGCTTGGCACAGGATAAAACACTGATTTCTAAAATACATTTTATTTGAGACCTCCCCCTGACCCCCTGTGTGACTCGGAGCCACACAAAAACAGCTCCCAGCTCATTTTGAGCTTTTCTATATAAAATAAAGTTTGTTAAAGATAACTCCAGTGGTGCCAGCCAGAAACCTTCCATCCCCTGATGTTCCCAGCTCATTTTTATGGCCCTCACTGGCGTGGAGGCTCCAGGTGTCCTCTCTAGGCAAGGACATGGAATGCCCTTGACTCAAGAGCAGAACACTTAAAATTCCTTGGGTTTGTTTTAGTTAAACCTCCTCCTCCATCCCCAGCTAAGTGCACGTTCTGCATGCTCCCTGCAAAGCCCTCGCCACATTTCCCACTCCAAATAAAACAGGAGAGGAGTCCAGGTGCTGTGAGGGTGGGGAGTGCAGGCTCCCAGCTCAGATGGAGCTGATGCCACCCAGGAGGCAGGACCAGCACGTTTCTCCAGCCTGGCAAGCTCTGGGAGCGTTTGTTAATTGTGGTTAATTGTGTGTAATTGGGGCTGAGCAGGGCAGGAGCTTCCAGCAGGAAGGTGCTCACCTGCAGCTGCCCCTGATTCCTGGGAACAGCCACTCGTGGCAAAGAGGGCAATGCAAACATGGGGAGAAGTGGAATTTTGCCAGCCCAATGCTGAGGGTCAGCCCTGGAAATCGAGGGAGGTGTTGTGGAAAGCCCCTGGCACTGCAGCTGCCCTGGGTAAAAGCTGGCAATAAGGTCCAGCCCATTTGGAGCCCTGGAGCCCAGCCTGCCCCAGGATATCCCAGTTTTTAG